ATATATATATATATATAATAAATCAAATTAAAATTCTATTAATTTACATATTATATTACTCAACTTTTTATCGTTTGATTAATATATTTATAGGGACAAGTTCAGTCAAGAAAAAACCGCAAAAGAACAAAAATCTGAGAAATACTCTGGTAACCATTTATCTCGACGGTATGTACATGTATATACAAGTAATTTGTAATATGCACATATGCATAAGAACCAAGAAACAACTTTAATTATATGTATACACATGTAAATATCGTCCAAATAAATAGTTACCAGGATGTTCCTGAGTTTTTTATTTTTTTGAACTTTTCCTTTGTACCTCCCTCTATATTTAAATTATTAACGATTTATTTTAAATATATTATGAAATACTAGACTTTACTAACATGTCTTTTTTCAAAAGTTTACAAGAGGTATCGTCCTTTTCTTAAAAATGGGGAGGATCGTCCTTTTTTTCAAAAATAGAGAGGATAGTTTCAGTTATTTTGTTCGATTCTAAATGGATGCAAAATCCCTCGTAGTCACGCCAACGTCCCATAGGGAGAGCTTTGGCGGGCCTAGACCACACATGGATTGCTCGCTCTTTTGGATTGCGGATACTACTTCCAACTACTCGAATAAATATGAAAATACAACGAATATATATTGGATTGCGTATATCAAGTATTTTTGTACAAACCCACTCTAAATTGTAATCCTTCATAAAGGGGTATTCACAAACACACAAGTCATGATTCATTATTGTTCAATAATGGTTGGTTCACCTTGAAGCAACAATCATGAGCTTTAAAGATGCCATCATTGCCAACTACTCCATTATCACCCTCATCATTCCTCTTGTTTTCGCCAAAGAGAATGTCAAGACATATTTGTCGACTCAACACAAGTTATTAAAATCTATCTTCTTTGTGGGTCCTACGAACCCGTCTTTCTTTTTATCTAACCGTTGTTCTGTAAAAAAATAATTGATCAACTTGGTTCGCCACATGACTATACAAGACGACCCAAGAAAACCATGAATACGGACCAAATTTCCTATGACGCGATCATGATTCATGGGCACTTGATATGGTTTCAAGTTATGATTTCCGTTTTAGTCTGGTTGTAAGTTGGTTGAGCCAGACACTAGAAATTCTCGTATCACGACTCACCTCGAGTTCAAATGTAATTGGTACATGAGTTTCGGATATTGGTGTTGGCGTTGGCGTTGGCGTTGGTGATGGTGCTGATGTAGGTCCAAGTGCTGGTCTCTCTGTGTGACGACGTGCCATTGATCCCAACGCTCTTCTAGACAATAAACTGACAACTTTACTACTTTGGCTGCCACCGCTCGTTGTTTCCCCTAACATATATATTTCATACCAAAAATTATTTCAAACATATACATATCTTGAACATAAAAGACAACAAAAAGAAAACGAACCCAATATATTCCACCTGGAGGTGGAGTATGGGAGATATGACCTCTATCCCAAATAGTAGAGCGGTTGTTTCCGTAAAAGATAAGAGATAAATCAACTGCCAAATGAATAGTTATGCAAGAAGTTACATACCGTTGATTTCCAATAGCTTTGCAGAGGCCGACATGCGAACGAGGATTGGAGTGACTATGGTGAGAGCTGCCCAGAAGAACAGCACTACAAGAAAGGTTCTCCCCAACATTTCTTGGAGAAATGTAAGAGCTTCAAAACTCTGTTGGAGGTTTTGTCTGAGCAAATCTTGGGATGATGTCTAGGTTGAGGAAGACCCTTTAAAATAAGGTGATTCCCTATTAAGGAACTGAAATTCCCAAACCCAAAGTAATATTGTTATAATGACTCTGTACATCTCCAATGGAACTTGTACATTGCTTGGATTAGGAGTTCTAGCTTTGGGGGAAAGGGACAGGCTAATTATAAAGACATTAGCTGTAACAAATGAGCATTATTAAATAAGATGGTTTTGTTAAGAATATAAGATTTTTATTTAAGCCACTGGTCAATTAAGCATACTTTTTGGAAATGAAAAAGTCATAAAGTACTTTATAATGAACTTGGTGACTTTCTCTGGTTGGTGGTTGGGAAGTGGTTGTACCAATCAGGTACATACACGTAAGATAAAGTTTCCATCTGGCATATCTCCATGCCAAAATTCCATTTAGTGGGGTCAAAAATGCAATCATACATACCTCGTGCTCTTATGAGCTTCTCAAACAAAAAGCCCACCTGTGAACTGATGCATATATTGCAAATAAACCAGCAGACAGTATTATTATTAGCGAATAATCTCATCTCAAAAGGGAATCATTTGTGCTTGATCAGCAATCAGAGTTGTTTCTACTGTGTAATGATAGGAGTGAATTCTAAGATATTAGAACTCAAAAGGTTTGCTTCTGTAACCGAAAGCTAAAAACGAGGGGTGAAAAAAAACCCAGAGTTACTGCTATGCTATCTTGAATCCTACTCAACTGCTTCCCAACGTCAGTGAATTGGTGAACCACCGCTGCCTGCAGGTGACTTCCTTTCACCGTATTTCTGTTGAAATTAAAGAAAGTTTCAATATAAAAACTGGCAAAGTAGAGTTAATTTTCTTTGGGGTCATTGGCATTTGATCAATTGAAATTAGGAGCTCTTACCTGCTTCCCGATGTTAAATGGGACATATTTGTATTTAATCATGTGCATGATTTGACGCTTCATTGTGAGGGCAAATAGAACAATCCAGTAGCAGAGCAGTATTGGCCAGAAAACAGGAACATCAAATAGAGAAAAGAATGTCATCAAGAAGGCCACCATGAAAGCCTTTGTGATGGCATACCTGAAATTATGAAACATATGAATGCGCGATTAATTACAGATGATTCAAAAACCAATTCAAAGTATTACAAGTAAGCAGCAACTAATTACAGATGATTCGAAAAACAATTCAAAGTATTACTAGTAAGCAGTCCACTTGTACGATGTCTCCTAGTTGTTTGAAACAAACCCTTCACCATTAATTTTTAGACACAGTGATAAGAGAACAAAATTTCGAAAAAATTATTAAAAAGAGGAAAAAGAAAAAGACTAACAACTACTCCTTTTTCAAGTTGCTTCTATTTCTTCCCCCCAATTTAACCTCGAACGAAAATTTGGGCTTATGGGGGGAATGGACCCATTATATTATATAAAACCAAACAGTTTATTTTATTTTCAATCCCATTAATTACTGCTTAATACCTCTAAGCAAACACTCGCTGAATCAACCTTCTACGTAACAATTAACAGAAAGCAAGTTCACCACCAACCCATCCGCAGAACAAGGGGTCAGCTTATAGCAAAAACATCAGATCCAGAAAATATCAAGCACCCAAAGAAAATTTAGTAATGTGTTGAAGCAAGGTTTTAAACGTATAGAAACGTGAGGCGCAACGCGTGGGGTTTTCCCTCCGCAAGGCGAGGCGTAAGCCTCGAGGCAGTCCGAGGCTTAAGTCTCGAGGCAGAAAATAAAAATATATAAAATAATATTATATATGTAATACTTAGCTGATAATAATATTCAGAATCATAATGTTGCTAATAAAAAATATTCAGTTCGGATCACAAACATCACTGTAAAGAAATATTATAACCAATCGGAATAGCAACAGAAACCACTACAATAACAACTAAACAGACTGAGGCATTGACTACCAAGTGCAAACTACTAAATTTKTAATRRARWCYATATTCATTCACAATGTGAAAAGAATATTGTTAAGCCCAAGAAGAAGTAACTCACTCAAGGACATGGTGTATCAAAATAGAAAAAGTAGTCATGCACATTCCACATATCACTGACATGTGGGAAAGCAACTGATATGACCAAATACATAGGTGTTGTCAACTTTTCTTGCTCAAGATTGTGCCGTTCAGTTTAAAAATGGAACTGAAAGAATATGAGAACAGTAGAGAGAGAATAAAGATGACAATAAACTGTGCATGCGCACTTTTCATTAGCTAGGACACAACCAAAATAGAACTGCCTGTTGTCACGACTTACCTATCAACCAAAGACAAGAATTTTACTGGTCAAAACTAACAGTTCCATATATGTGTCATAAATGTTTCAATATAATAAAATTAAGAGGTTCATGCTGCAAGTGTCTATTGTGTTTGTGTGAGGAAAACAATTAGCTACATGTACGATTGATGTTATCGTGAGGTCTGTGGCTCACCCACGACCACGACAACTTCACAACACAGAGAAGTTCCTAACCATAGGGGATGTGTACACTCTCTCACCAAACTCAAGAGTTTATATGACAATATCCCATATTCTTGATCGTTTATCAGTGTTAGGTTTCAATTACTTTCGTGATCCATAAGTCATAAATTCCCAGAAATTTCCAAGTCATTACCTTACATCTCAGTGAAATCCAAGGCCATCTATACCATACAGAGTGCTTGCATGCAAGTGAAACCGGATAGACCATTCATGCAAGGGTGGGAAATCCCAACCAACTGGAAGTGGAAAGGCACCTACAGAATCATCTTGTATTGTCTTTTCCTAAATAAGTATGCAGATTCATAGGTTATTGCTGGTGAGCTCTTGAGAAATTTTATCCACAAGAATACGCTATCAATGAATAAGCTGGCTTAATCTCAACTCAACTTAGAATTTTTTTTTAAAAACAAACCTAGATCATATAGAGAGGTTAGGCAGATAGATACGCAAAAAAATTTCTTGACATGAATTATACTTTTTTCAAAGCTTTTATACAATTTAAAGATCTTACACTGTTTAAATGCGAATAACATGGTTTCTATAAATTTTGTATTCCATTGATTGATACTAATTGATCGAATTCTCTCAACTCCTATTCACCAATTGAATTTCCTCAGCTTGGAGGTAGTCATTCAATCCTTTTGAGTAATTGCATCAATAGAACAATGGAACTGATTGTTTGGAAAGTAGTTGCATCAAATTTTTAATTATCATAATAATCTATCCAAATGAATAGCTTGTGTTTCCACTTAAAAGTCCATATGATATTAATTCTCATAATAATCTATATAATTTGTAATTCTCTTAATAATCTATCTAAATTGGCGATGATGGTGGGAAAACGACTGATGGCAAGAGCACTTTAGCAGTTCCAGCTGCGGTGACTGGTTATAGAGACTTAACAGCAAGGAACGAGTAAAGGCAGGGATCAGAGCACCTTTGATGCCATGTGGAATTCTTTGCTCTTCTTATTTTGAAAGAGAAGGGTACAAGACCTTTCATAAGCTTACGGATCCTTGAAAACAGGAAAGGAATCCCACTACAAAGGAAAATAACCTAAAATAAGATTCTAATATTGATGAAACTAGTTATGGTAAAGAATAAATCCTCACTAAAACCTATTTACAGCAAATTTTACATTTCTATACATATTGACAGTCTACCATCTTGGTATGCTCGTGAAATTTAACTCTTGAAGATATAAGCACCTACTTCATTAATAGAATAATCTCCATTGAACCAAACGTAAAATCTCTTGAATCATGTACCAAAACTCATACCTATATTAGCTCAAAGTTGTCTCAGACATAGCCGATACTCATCCTCATCACAACAGAGAGGAACAATGTCATGCTTTCCAAATCACTCCATGGGTTGTCCTAGTAAGTGGCATACGGTGGCACGTGCCACCACTTCGTTGTCCCCGCAGAATGACAAAAAAAATTACAGCTTGTAAAGATGCCACCATATTGATTAGATACGTCATACGTGCCACCGCTTTGGTAAAAGAAAAACAAAAGGTAGGGTAGAGCATTGGTAAGAGTGCTCTTGAAGGAAGGGAAGGTCTCAGGTTCATGTCTTGGGAGTACATTTTGCTAGTTTATTCAATATCTTCAATTTTTTTATTTAGTAATTGTAATTATTTTTTAAATTATTTTTTTTATTTTATTCAATAATTAATTTTTATTTAATTTCAATTTACGATGATTATTTTGTGCCACCACTAAAAAAAATTAAGTCCACCTTTGAATCTCTGCCAAAAAAAAGCACGGTACTTGCTTATGGGCTTCTCCTGTATGAACATCTAAGTCACATTCCAGTAAAGTGTACCCAGAAGATACCTTAAGATCTTCAGCACCATATGCCAATGATTAAGTGTGCAGATCAGACATGAACCAGTTCACAACGGCCACACAAAATGCAATATCAGCCTAATGACAAGCATGCCAACCTCAGCTAAGATGTCTAAGATGTACTGCCTCTACCATTCATGCATGAAGATGCCCACAGATCCTAGCAACCACAATAACCAAAAAAGTACTTAACACTTCTAAATGCTTTGTCTAAACTTTGAAATGCCTCCAAAATTTCCTCTATTCTTGTAGATCAACACTGATACTTGGTTACTTATTGGTCCAGAAAGGGGATTAAGTTGAAAATGCTGATGGGATGGATCTACAATTTCGGTAAATACAGCATTGAGCGTTTCACATTATTTGGTTATATACATGGTTTGGCTCCCTTCTCAAGATACTAGCACTTATCTCTCCTGACCATAAAAGATAAGAAAAACTAAGATTTTCCATAATATCACCCAAAAAAACACTATATCTTGACAGTCAACTAGTCCACTGTGCCTCGGAATGGAATTGGCAGTGAATAACAACATACAAATTAAGTCTAGCATGTGAATAAATGTGTGGACTAAAGTAAAGCAAGAACACACTCTTTATCTTCAATTCGAAATTCAATTTCTGTATCATGGATCATCTACGATTGAGCTTCCACCTCATTAAAATCTGCACATTCTATTCTACTTTTGTAATCGTACTGCGATAAAAAAACAAAAGATGGCATGTAATGGAATGAAGTTAAGGTTTCATATTTTCTAATCAAAATGGGGAAAGGTATGGAATTGTCATGGTTCCCTAATACGCGTGGCAACTGCAACAACAAAATGGAAGAAAAAGATAGCAAGTAGTTTGTAAGTCGTGAGTATCATCCATCACACGAAAATTAATGAGAAGACTGTTTTTCTATAATTTTTTTTGACATAATCATTGTCAGGAAATAGATACTATATCAGTCTTTTAGAGACTGATATCGTTTCAGGAAACAAAAAGTTATCAATAGAATAATGACATCAAAGAAAAACTGATTGGTAAAGCATAAAACAATATAAGTAAACCATGCCAAGTTGCTTTTCCTTAAAATATGAATTATCAAAGATGTAGAAACAACTATGGATGTTACCATAACTATCATCAAAGTAAAACAGATCATTAACAAATAGCAAATCAAGTATGTATACAGTATTTAGAGAATAAAATGATAGCATGGAAATTTTTTATTTCACACGCCATCACCCCAATAATTTATTCGCCTATTTTATGTCATGCAACAATGCATATCCAAAGTGTAATCTCTTGTTAAGAGGATGACACTTGCTATGAGCGAGTATGTAAAATAGCATGATCTTCGTAGACATCTTAGGATCCAATATTCAAGAAATTAGTTACTTTTTAAATAATATAGAAAAAATGAGGCCTAACATGATGAGGATCATCTGATGGATGCTAACTCACCAAAACTTGAACTCTGGAAGGCGACGTATAAAAGGCCTAAATTCATCAGATTCTTTTGTAGGCAGCGAAGCCCCATCCAAAGCTTCTAGCTCTGGATCGACCTTTGGTGAGAGAAATCCAATCAACAGGTTCAAGATATAAATTCCAAGACCATATGAGATAATGTAAAACCCTTCAAGATAATAGACCCGCAAGACATATATTGCTGCAACAGCAAGTGTCCCAAGCCACCTGTGAAAAGGAAGAGGTGTCGACTTATCCAGATAAAACTGAAAGGCCCTTGAGAATTCATTTTTCCACTTGGCTAGTGGTGCCATCGGGGAGGCAGCATCACCTCCTACTCCTTCCATGTAGGCCAGCCTTTAATCTTTCTGTAGAATGCAATACATAACTCAGAACCCAAAACCCACCACATAACCAGCTAATAACTAGATTAGTAACAATAATGAATATAATACGATGAATCCAGTTTTGCAGCATACTGAACAACAAAAGTACTACTTCTTAACCTCATGTCATGTACTGGGTTACACTCACCTGCAATAAACTCCACCATTTTGGACTTGGAACCCTTTATTGGGTATTTCTCATTGAAAGTCCGCATCCGTCAAATTAAGAAGTTCATATAACTGATCTACACTATGATTCAGTGCATCCCCATCTTTATTACCACATACATTCAGATTTCAACATCAGCCACATAGTACCATTGTCATGACCAACACTCTTACCACCACCACCCGGCAAACAAAGAAAAAGTAAAGTTATATTGCACCAACCATAACTAGATTCCATTAAGAGGCCCTTTAAATGAATTGTACTCTATGCCCACAATTACATGCATATTGAATACTCCAATATTTGGAAAGTGGACTGTAATCAGGCGTATATGGAATTATTACAACCACCATTAACAAATTAGTGGGTGAATGGAAATAATTGTGTCAACACAAATTAGGAATTTGCTGATCAAATACGGAAAGCATATCGAACAAATAAAACGTTTACCCCTTTGCAAATGAAATTATCAAGAGAGCGAGTAGTAATTATTGAAAGATAAGCACGTGAATCGATCAAGAAAATAGGTGTTGTAGTGAGAGTACAAGAGCTCACACAAAGGAATTTGTGTTTTAGGGTTTCAGCGCTTTACCTGATACGATTATTATCCGAAACCGTAAAAACTGAATAGAATTGCACCTAATTGCTTCGTTTGATTTGATTTTTGGATAACATTTGGTCTGTTTGTTTTAGGGTTGTAAGCGCTCTGAAGATGATGTTCGTAAATAAGCTTTTATATTCCAACAAAATAAATTCAGGTTTTCAATTATTTGGGGAAAAAGGCACTTTTGAACCATGAGTTAATTATGGGTGTTTGGGATTTGTTTATTTAAAATAATTTATGATTTTCTGTAAAAATGTTTATTAACTTATCTGATGTTAAATCGGAGTTTTATAAAAAATGTTTGAATTAACTTATGACAATACCAAAACATAATAAGTTGATAAGTTGTTTTTTAGTGTTTGACAAATTTTGCTTATACATGTAAAATGACCAAAAATAACATTCATAACCAAAAAAAAAAACACAAATCTGTTACAGGCTATCGCTTCTTCCCCAGTTTCAATCTCGATCTCTCCAGCTACGATTTCTTAACCTTGATATTCGATTTCGATTTCTCAGCTTCTTGCAATGAAAGTTGATTTCAATAGCTTCTGGCAGTGAAGGTCGAACACAAAAGTCAAATCCATTGTTGGAACCCTAATTAGGGTCGAACAAAGAAATCGAACAAATTGTTCGATTTCATTTTTGATTTCTCGTCATCAGCACGTGCTCCCCAAAAGGTATTTGAATATTGAAAAGACCTGCAATATCAAACCTAAAATGCATATTTAAACAGTTTAATGATTGAATAACGAGCTAATCTTTTTCCTTCTTATCTTCGTAACTTGGATATTTTATACATGAAATTGAACTAATTTTCTCATTTGTTTGATATATGAGAATTTATGTCCAGGTAGGTTACTTTCGACACATGCTTGTGGAATTTTCGATTGTTTTCATCTTTGTTTTTTTAAGTAAATCTGGATGATTAATTCATTTACTTATAATGAGATGCATTAAGAAAAGGCACCGATGTTAAGTTCCTACAAAAATATACAGACAATTGTTAATTGGTTTAAATTTTGTTTACGTACTATTTTTAACGATGGATTTAAAAGGGATTTTTTTTTTTTTTTTTTAAAGATAAAAATATCATATTTTTATGGAGATAACAGATTATATAATTTTAAAAAAACAAGGAATTAAAAATATCAAATCCCTAAAAGGAATCATAACTGGGGCTTCTTCTTTTCCTATAGAGGCAAAATGATATTAATAATGGAATTTTCAGTTATTACGAATGATGTAAGCGGCAAACATCAACTCTTGTACAAACACCAAACAAACTCTCAAATGATTTCACCTACTTAGAAAGATCCTCTTTTTCAAAACATCATTCAAAAACTCCTCAAAAATAATTGAAAAGAAAGAAAAAAAATTGGATGGTTGTGTTCATGCCTCTTATCATAAATGGGCTGACTACGTGTCAAAGGAAAATGAGTGTGAATCTATTGGGTCCGCGAATTATCCTAAAAGCACTTGCCTGAAAGAGGCAATAACATTGAAAAGTCCTTTATTCCTAGAAGGACGAATGAAAAAGGCATTCTAGGTTCTAAACCATCAAACTTCATCAACTCTTTTATTCCAAAAGAGAAAAGACTGTCTTGATAACAAAATAGAAAGAATTCCTAAAGTTGTTATTAATCCAAAAGGACCCATCAAAAGATGGGTATCAAAGAACTAATTCTTTGAAGTTGAAAGTTTGTTGTGTTTGTATTCAACCCCCTCATTCTACAAAACCATCATGCGTAAGTCATTACATTCCAAGATAAAACTGTCATTTTGTAAGGGTAATCATGATAATCAAACAGATTTTGACGTAAATTGGGTAGTTTCCAAGATAAAACTGTCTAATCAACCTCCAATTCTACCCTAATCCTCTAAAACTCATGATTACCTTTCTCTTGATTCTACAAATTCTCTCTAATGTCAACCTCAAAATCAATTTCACCATTTTCAAACATTTGATACCTTTGTCACATTTCTGAATATTCTTCGTCTTGTTACTTTTTGTATTCATCTTCTTACATGGCACTAACTTTCAAAGATTCGTCTTCCTTAAACACATCTTTATCATCCAAACAATCTCAGTTTAGGGCAACCAACTACATTGATTTTCTTTCCAAATATGAAGGATCTTCACAGCATCACTACTTGATGGACTTTCTGACAAAAAGTGTAATATCATATGCTTTGACAACCACATCAAAGATGAGCACCATGCTCTTAGGGAACTTTTTGTGAATATGTATATAATGATGAAAACAAAAGGTCATTGCTAGTGCCCTTTCAAACAAATATTGTCATAATTGCTAACGATGTTGCACGAGCTTTCCATCTACCACTACCAGGTACTGCTGACTTTGATGACCTTGCATCAGATAAAGACTTGGAAGATGTACTTATTATACTAGAATCAAAATTGAAGATATTTCAATGGTAAGAGAAATCAAATGCCACACCTACTCCTATCAAAAAGTGAGATTTACTAAACAATAAAAGCCCCTTCTATCTTAACATACCTTTGAGAAAACCACAAGCACTCTTCTACCTAGAAACATGTCTAGTTTTTAGTATTTCTATATCCAACTCGCTTACTATTTGAGCACGACTAGGGGTTATGATCAAGCTTCTAGTTACACGAACCGTCGGGCACATGCATTGATTTCCAAAAAAACATAAAGTTTGGAAACTAATTGTTCAAAGATTTGGTGAAGAAAATCACCATTAGAAGCAAGCAAGCACAAGTTATTTATATCTGACTCATTGGGATGTTGTTCGCTGACAAATTGGGAGAGCGGATTCCATCGAATATCTCTTATGACTATCTTTCCTTCTAATAAGTGAAAATGGAGGTATTGACATCGGATCATACGATTCCAACATGTATGATCTCTTTTACTCATTCTCAATGACTCATTTAGAGAGATACTTCAAATAGAGAAGCAACTAAGCGTTTCCTTCAATCCAAAATATGATCTATGAGTGAAAAACGCTCAAGAAATGTTTCATGCTCTAAAGTTCTTAAAAGAACTTCAAAGAAGTCAAGAACAAGATTCGACACATCTAAAACTGATTCCCATGTTCAAGAAGTGCCCCCTTGTTCTTGCTCTTGATCAGGTTTCCATTACTATGATACTAGTAGCTCCATTGGTATCTACCCAAGTATCTCATGCTTCCAAAATAAAGCAAGAGTGGAGACTTTCATACCGAGCCAAACGAGAAGCATTACCAATTCTATCAGCTACTCAAAGGGTCCTAGACTACACCAACAGATCTCTACAATCAAATATTAGTTATCTTGGTCATCCTGACCCGCGGCATCTGAAACCCTAACCACCTCCTCAATGCCTACCAACAAGACGTTGTTGTAAAAACGAACTTAACACATTATACAACTACAACATCTCCAAATATTTTTAGTGGTGATGCAGACTCATCTGATATCCTCCATATAGGAAACATTCTTTCAAGCCCTGCTAGTATGAATTTACTTGAGCCCAATGAATTCCCATCTTTACTTCAACTTGTCCAATCGTTCATTGATCGGACAGTCAACCCACTTCCTAACCTGAGCATACTCTAGTTCATCTGCATACCTCATCGTTTGTCCCTCCAACCTCCACTTATCAACATTTTCAAGACTTGAAGCAACAACTCTCTAAGCTATGAGAAACCCACAATTCATCTGACAAGACTCTTGGAGAAAGATTCAAACTCCAGGAAAAATTGTCAAAAATTCTCTTTGATTGTTTGTAACATTTTAGAACAACTTGATCACAATGTAAATTCACAGTCTACCATGGTTCAAATGTTGTTCCAAGACAATCCGACCTCCTCTCATCATGTTTCCTTCATGTTTAAAAATCGTACAAGAATGATTAGACATGAAAAACATTAGAAACGAATAGACATCTATCTTTGATTGATCTTCTTCCAATTTAGGAAAGTTCTCTCTTCATCTAGACCTACTAAGGGGGAGAAATCTGACTCTACTAGTTCCAATAGCTCAAATGAATAAAAAAAAGGATAAAAATAAAAAGGGGAACAAGTTGTAAGAAACTACCATAAAGATACGAGTGAGGGATAGCAAGCAGCAAAAGACCACCATCTGATTCTTGATCTGAATCTGGTGGAAAGGAAAAGGAAAGATGAGCTATGAGCATGAACTTGCTGAAAGTAAAGCAAGAAAGGGTGTCCTTTAGAAAGAAAGATTTGATTAAATGAACTATCTTTTCTACTTCAACAACCAAAGAAGAGACAAAGTGCAAGAATGAAATTCAACACTTGTGATACATTGTAAATTTTCTTTGTAATTTTCTTATTATCCTTAGTTAAATGAAATTTTACATTTTTCAATACCTTGTATCTTTTCACTGGTTTGTTGTTCTTATGTAATTCAAAAGTAAAAAAGAAAAATCCTTCAAAAACAATAAAATACAAAAAAAGAGGGGAAAGAAATCCAAAAACAAATCACAGAGTTTATGAGTTTGAGTTTTTCTCTCTTATGGGTTGTGGTACCATTTTTATTTCTAAATGTTTATTCTATCTAATCTATCTATTTGTATTATCAACAAATACGGGGAGATTTTTGACCTCAACCATTTGATATGATAATAAGAGGTGTGTAGAAAGTCAACTGATCCGATTAGAATAGACCGATCCAATTAGAACAGACCATCGATTATTGGATATCCAATTGTGATCGGCTCAAAAATTTCAACATCCAATTTGGATCGGTCGTTGTTGGATGGCAATCCAGAACCGATCGAACCGACTGAATTACCATCTAACTTATACATCCAATAATAACCGACCGATACCATCTAGTTATCGAATCGGCTGGATAACCCTCATTAGTAATATCGAACCGACCAAATTACCCTCAACAAAATTGATTACTCTTTAGATTGTTTTAAGCTTTAACCTTGCCGTAGCCGTAGCCGTAGCCGCTCCATTCTTTCTCCTAAATCTCAATCGGCAACCGTTTCCTATCGAGTATCGAACACTGCTTCCATTAATCCATCTTCTTCTCGATCGAACTGCTTCCATCTTCTTCTCAATCGAACACAGGTTTGAACTTACATTGTATTTTAGTTTATTTGACATTCAGAGCACTGGGCAGGTTTGAACACTATATTAGGTTTGAACT